GTGTAAAAATAAAAATTGAACTGAATTTGTTGCAGGAGATTCTGGTGAAGAATAAATAAATCAAATTAATTTCAGTACACTGCTGCCTTACAAGCATATCTGTTGCTGGTATATTTCCACCGGTATTGCTTTGATACAGTATTTGCACATTCTTGTTCACAAAGTATCCACATATGGTTAACAGTTTTTATTATTGGGAATGTTTACCCATAATGTCCCTGTGGAGGGAAACCCCAGATTCCTGGAGTGAGGAGATGTTGTCAGGTGTGTGACGTGCTCATTCAGCCAGCAGAACTTCTGCCACTGGCTTCCATCATTGTCATTGAGACTTTACTGAATGCTCAGCCAAAGGTGATGAGAGAGAACTTTCTGTTCTGAGCCGAGAGGTGTCTGTCGATCAGTTTGACTCTTAGACATCTTTGTTTGTGGCCGGTTGCTCAGGGGTTTTCTCTGCCCATGAGGAAAATACTGATTAAGCTTACATAATCTTCTGGCAGCCACGAGTCTTAGTATTCGGCTGATTGTTTTGGTTTTTTTTCCGGGTTTTTTTCATTTGTTTTTGTGTGGTTTGTGCTTGTGTATGCATGAGTGTGAATGAGTCTATATAATATTTCAACTCACTGAAAGGACTCTTAAGCTCCTGTCAGAAACAACCCTTGGCCAAACCACACTTTTTCTTATACAGTCCCTTCTCTCCCTCTTTCTCTCCCTCCTTCTTCTCTCGCTTTCATTTTCTCCCACACACACGCACATTTCAACATAGAATAAACTTTACAGAAGTTTCACTCCAGAACACTGGAAACTGCCTGAAGCTCACAAAACCTCTCCGACCTGTTCTGAGCATGAAGAATTACACTAATAGTGTAACAAACATCTGCTTGTTTTCTTTAACACTCTTGGATATCATGGCCGATGAACTCGACATCGTCTGCTTCAAGACCAGTCACAAGTTAATATTCAAATAAATGCTAGAAAGAATAAGTTTGAAATTGCACAACGTTTTGCACACTTTGCACTTTATTTGTGGCCTCTGGACAATAAGTTCATATTGTTGGCCTATTTCTCGTGTGGGGATCTTATTTGTTTTTTGTTCATTTTGTAATTTAGCCGACACTTTTATCCAAAGCGACAAATTATGAACATCACAAGCAATTTGATGCAATTTTTTTTATTTGATCTAAAATACAGTAAAAACGGTAATATTGTTAAATATTACAATTTTAAAAAACTCTTTACCATTTGAATATATTTTAAAATGTAAATTATTCCTGTGATGGTAAAGTTGAATTTTCAGCATCATCAAGTCAAGTCACCTTTATTTATATAGCGCTTTATACAATCCAGATTGTGTCAAAGCAGCTTTACAGTGTTAAACCGGAAAAACAATAATGCAATGAAATATTTGTGTGGAAATCATCATACTGTTTTCAGGAAACTTTGATGAATAGAAAGTTCAAAAGCACAGCATTTACTTGAAAAAATTAAAATAAAAAAATCCTTAAAGTCTTTACTGTTATTTTTGATCAGTTTAATGTATCCTTGCAAATTTTTTTAAAACAAAAATTGTACTTACCCAAAATATTTGATTGGTGGTGTATTTTTACATATTGCATATATATTATTGCATATATATTACAATGACTGCATTTACAGATATAAATCAGAATTTGATCATATTGTTATAAGTATTCCTCGGCATCATTCTGAGTATTAAGTTGACAGATGAGAAAATTAATGGTAATTAATGAGTTGATTTAAATTATGCTAATTACATGTATAAGTAAGTAGCATGTAAAAGTACATTTTGATTTTCTCAAAGTGTAAAAATAAAAATTGAACTGAATTTGTTGCAGGAGATTCTGGTGAAGAATAAATAAATCAAATTAATTTCAGTACACTGCTGCCTTACAAGCATATCTGTTGCTGGTATATTTCCACCGGTATTGCTTTGATACAGTATTTGCACATTCTTGTTCACAAAGTATCCACATATGGTTAACAGTTTTTATTATTGGGAATGTTTACCCATAATGTCCCTGTGGAGGGAAACCCCAGATTCCTGGAGTGAGGAGATGTTGTCAGGTGTGTGACGTGCTCATTCAGCCAGCAGAACTTCTGCCACTGGCTTCCATCACTTTGCTGTGGTTAAATGTTCAGGCCTACAGGCATTGCCAGAACATGACAGCAATGAATAAAAACGCTTCACAAACCAATCTGTGAAAGGAGGGGGGAAGGAATTAGCCCCGGGAACATTGAGCAACCTTCTCCCCACTTGTACTGTCTCTGCCAGCAGTTGTTATTCGTAATCACTTCTGGTATGTATTCATGTTGCTTCAATACAAATTTATTTGCAGTTCATCAAGGTTTAGAAGCACTAAGAGCTATTTTTGGTGGTCTCCAACTTTATGTCCATTCATTAAAATATTAAGTAATCAGGATTGTGCTATTAGTTTTGGCTGTTTTCACTTTGTTAGCTCTGTTCAAAAAGCAGTTTCCATTGTCTACATAGGCAGCATGACTGAAAGGGACCCTTATAAGTGACTGGTTTGGAATGCTATGCACAGGTAGCAACAAATTGCAATCAAATAGTTTCAGATTTTGATATGGGCATGTTGCAAAGCTAATAATAAATTTGTCAGTATTGCACAAAATCTGTCTTTATAATCCCCTGTCATCTTGGGTAACTTATTTCAGGATGTATTTGATGCCGTCTTGGAATTCAGCCATAATAAGGTTGCAATGAAGATATAATGTTGCTGCCTAGATTTTAGAGCTGCCGTCATGTCAAGAGCGTGCCTATGATTACCTCAAAGTCCTGTCTATTCAGACAGCACACTTAGTTTTGGAACAGAGCTGTTGATTTTAAGGCATTTGTCATCTTTGCCCTCCAGAGATCTCATCGCAAACTTTGTGATCTTCTGTTTTGGTTGGTCATCCTATTTTTGGTGTAGAGTGTTCAATGTAGCTGTCCTTCTCTGCACCATTGAGTCACAGTAGCCAGACATAGTTGTTTGCTTTGGGAGAAAGTAGGTGAAATATGTTCCTACACTGTCTGTTCTGCAGCGATGCCAAGCTCAAAGAACCAGCTCCTCAACAAGGTGATGCAATGTTCATTCTCAGTCATCCTCTATGAAAAACAAAAACCGCTGTTATTCAGTTCATAGTCGGACTTCTGACAAACAGCATAAAGTCTTAGTCCACATTTCAGCTTTTTCTGTTCACCTTGACAGGAACAGACAGTTTGAGCAAAACAAAGTGAGTTTATTACATTTTACATGCAGTTTAGCAGAAACTGTGTAGAATTTCTATAATAGTCTATAGTTCTTATTTGGATGACATAATTTCTGATCACACAAAAAAAGCGGAGTATGCTGTTCAATTTGTGCAAATATAGTTTAATTGTCAAAAAAACCCAATTAAAATTTTCCATTGGCTTTTGCATTATTGCAGAAATTAAGCAACCATCAAAAGTTTATGATTCTTATACTTTTTCTTTATCATGATACTGTTCACAAATGAACATGAATTTGGTCTAAATACAATTGCTAGAAAGTAAAAAGATAAAGGCAGTCTATAAACAAACTACGCAGGGTCATGTGACTCCCAATGCCAACGCCACCACCACAAAACCTCTGACAACTGTCTTTATTTAAAGAGCATTCCACCTTGATTAGAGACAGAATGAAGCTGTGAAAGTGACTAGATGAGTTTACCTTTTTGCTGTGATGCAATTAATGTCTATTGTAGTCCTATTTAGCCTATTTTAGCAGCTGCATTTTCCGAAACAAGTAAAAGCTTTAAAAATGTTACAAGTGGATATTACTGACATATGTCTTATATTTTGAGCTTGTGTTAACCACAGACCTTTCAGACATTTAATCAAAAACCCATTCAAAAAACCCATTGACTTCAGGATGATGGAACTGGAAGTGCTAAATGCAACTCTTTTCTGGGTTTTGGCTTACAAAAATATGTCATCCCTGCAGCTCTATTTGTTTAGCCTTGTAAATGCAGTTTGGTTTCCAGATTCCAAAAAACTCTGTCCTTACTCTCGAAGGTTGCACAAAGTCAGCCAATCAGATTAGATGGTGCTAGATTGAGAAGTTCGAAGTTCAGCTGGTCAGTGAACAGACTATGGGTGGTCCGTGGACGTGCCGCTTTTTGTTTCTTGAATCTCTTTCCTGCATGCATTTAATTTTCCTTTTTTTTGCAGTCTAAACAGCCAGTAAAAGAGCTTCATTCCCACAGCACAACCACAGATTTTGTAATGAGAAATAACTTGTAGCTCTTATTAGATCAAATCTCAGACAAATGGAGCCCCTCTCACCTCCTGAGACTGTCATTTGACCTCCTCACCCCTTGATTGTGCACATAGAAGGTGTATGTGCCCTGCTCCATTGTCTGACTGAGAGTACCAGCAGGATTTACATCTCTATGGTGGAAAAGCTTTGATCACCTCTCAGCTGGCGCCTCAAAACTCTATAAATACACAACACATGTACACACGCACATCAGCCCTACACCTACAGTCATGACTTTCTTTCTTTCAAGTAAAATCGCTGCATAGCCTCAAGTAGCAACATGATAAAAGACACCAATCTTTATTAAATAGCCTAGTTAAATGTGTTAATATTAATAATCAAAATTATTCTTTGGCAGTTCAACTTGGCACAGGTGTGCATTAATTAGCAATTTACACCGGCTTTGAAAGTGGTTTATTCAGTGAGTAATTAGAGTCAGATTTTGTAATGAGAAATAACTTGTAGCTCTTATTAGATCAAATGTTTATGGTTTGAAGAGCTGATGCTAATTTTGTCCAATGGTGCTTAGATAGATCATAGCGTTTTGGTTTTCACCCACTGTTTGTTTTATTTTTTTGCACTGTAGTCTACACAAATGATATAAACCCATATAATTAATGGAATTTAGCATAGCTTCAGTTCATATATTACTAATTACTGTTTTCTTTTCTCTCTCTGTTTTTGTTTATCTCTGCACAGGTATGCTATACATTGTGGGCTCCTGTCAGAATATGAATCTATTCAGAATAAAATTAAAAATGGTTATCTTTTTAAGGTGAGTGTGCATGTGTGTTCTTTATGCAATGTTCACATGTTTCAAATGTTTTGATAGGATGGCAAATGTGTAGACCAATAGCTTAATTGCTCCATTGTAGAACATTACACTTAAAAATAATTCAATCCCATTAAAAAAAATTAAAATATATCAAATACATTATTTTTTTCTGTTTATATGAAATCCAGCCTGTCTAAAGCTCAAATGCAGACAGCAGAATATTGGAACAGTTCAGATGTACTGTTTACAGCTGAGCTCATGTCAACATAGGAAGTAGTTACTTCCAGTTACTTCCTCTTTTAATTACTTCCGGATGCTCCCAGTTACAAATCTGACCCTTAATTATTTACACATTTATTCCTGTGCTTCATGTAGAGAAGAGTTTAAGGGCAGTAAATGATACAGTGATCTCAGCATAAGGTCATTTCAGTTGATTTCAGTGGTTGTATGTGTTGGTGGGAGCATAGCATAAGCTTCTGTAAGAGTCAGTAGGGCTGGGTAAAAAATATCGATATCTTGATATTATCGATTCTCGATTTTTACGGAACGATATCTATTCTTAAATCCCAAGAATCGATTAGTCTAGCCTGTTTTCAGTTAATGGCCGAACATTGAAGGGCACTTCCCATCCAATATATCGCAATAAGCATTGTGCTTTGGTACTTTTAATATGAAACAAAGTCTCAGATTTCAAATTCTGTCCGTTGTATTGCAGTATTCAAACAATAAATGCCATTTTGGCGCTGTTTAATGTGGAGTGACAGATCACTGTAGCGCCTCAGTTCAACAGGCAGCGCAAGGCACGCATGAACTGATAATCTCCTCCACATTAATACCAGTTTCAGCACAAAATAAACATGACTAAACATCCGAAGGTAAGTTAAAAGAAAGAGTACAACTTTACAATCCGGATCCTGTCTCATATAATCGCTCAATCAGTGTTTCCTCCGCGTAAAGACGTCAATATAACATCTTGTAAACAATGTCACGTTACGTCACATTTAGGGGAGACCGGGTATGGTTGTAACACCCCCAGTTTCACCAATCAGGGATAAGATAGGAGTCACATGATCATTTCAGTGTGTACCCACTTCCTCCCAGATCCACATGGATGGTTATCAAGGCTGGAAATAGGCAATTTTATAGAGAAAAAAAATGATTTTAAGGTAAGAATGTAATTTTGTTTTACCAAAACTATATTTTGTGTAGTACTTAAACTATTGCTGATAAAATATCTTCTATTAGATTAAATTGTAGTTTCTCAGGCAAAATGTGATGCGTTTTTCACCTTCTAATTTCAAACCATTAAGCTAATACAGCTAGCTAAACAATGACTGACAGGGGTAGGTGGGTTGTAACACATCTTTAAAAGGTGTTACAACCATCCCCTTATATGAAACTATATATATTTTTTTCTTTTTAAATTTTTACAGAATGCCTAGACAGTGGAAAAGAAAGACACAGAGAGGTGTGCCTGCCAGTGTTTTAAAAAAGGTGTTTGATGAGGTCACAAAGAAGGGAAAGTCAGTCAGATCAGTTGCAAAGGAAGCATTCTGTCAAATTAATTCAGTTTATTTATATAGTGCTTTTAATGATGCCTCAAATCAGCTTACAGAGAAATATAGCTGTGAAACTGAAATCTTTATTTAGTAGTTCCATTTAAGCTTCATTAAATGCTTAATTTAAATGTTATTATGTCCCCGCCACACTCAAAAAAAGATATATTTTAGTTGTTTGCTCAGTTTACTTAAATAAAATAAGCTAACACAACACAAATCTTAAGTTTGTGCTCGGTTGTCATTTGACATTTAAAAGAGTTTGTCGATTTTTGAGGTTACCACTACGCTGTGTAGACCTTGTTGTTAGGCTATGGCTACATGACCTCAGACGATGACAACTTTTGTGTTGTCTGTATGGAGTCATTTTCCAACACAAATCCAATGGAAGTGTGGGTAAAATGTGCTCTATGCAGTCTCTGGGCCCACCAATCCTGCACTCCAGGACTAGCAAAATTAATTTGTCACCATTGTGACTCTGATTGAGAATTCAGACATTGATGCACTAATGTGCACACATTAGTCTTAAAAATAAATACGTAAAAATAAATAAATAATGCCGTTAAGCAAGTTTGTTCTAGTAGAGTAATTTACACACACATAGACAGAAAGTGGAGCTGAGTTATGTTCAGTCACAAAGAAAGACATTGTAATGAGTTCTTCTTTTGGATTGTTTCAGTAAACCTATTTTTTGTTGCATATTGCATGGTGTGGCTTCTGTTTTTTTTCTTCGTTTGACTAATTGTTACAATTGACCCCAGTATGTGTTACATCCTACCTCAGCAGTGGGGTAGATTGTAACAAAGGCACTCCATGTATTTGACATCAACTTATATGGGGTGTGATATTCTTGCAGCGGTTTCAATGGGTGCCTTTTGTTGTACACAAATGTGGGTACATTGTATAAATGTTTGAATACTCTAGCTTGAAAACTCAGAGTTACAGATGCTGAAGCAAAAAGTGATACAACCATACCCGGTCTCCCCCTACCTCATTAATCAGATAGAAAAAGAAACTGTAGAGAGGGGCATTTTGCTAAATATATGCACCATATATCATTCATTATAAATTTGACTGTTCTTCAATGTTTAATTTATGTTTGAATAAATCCATCAAGTTTTAATGACAGCCACCATTATGTTTATATTTAAAAAAAAAAATGAATTGAAGTAGAAATATTATTATGTAATTGTAACTTTATTATTTAAAAAAACTTCATTGTGTAATTTTAACAAATCAGTCAATTTTAACCTTCAATATTATAGTAATGTAGTACCAACTGACAATCGTGTATATTTTACAACATTAGTTGAGAGATTTTTTTTTTTTCCTTGAGAAATTTTGGCAGGTATTGTACCTGATATATATCCAAAATAATCGATATTGAATCGAATTGCAAGCTTGTGAATGAGAATCGAATCGAATCGTGAAATTTGTGTCAAAACCCAACCCTAAGAGTTGGTGTTCATAATCTTATCTGAAACGAGAGCAAATAGAATGAGGGTACCACACACACACACACACACATGTATTTCATAAGAGCAGATCAGTCTCTGATACACGTAGCATTTTGTTGGTGTTCATAATCTTATCTGAGACGAGAGCAAATAGAATGAGGGTACCACACACACACACACACACATGTATTTCATAAGAGCAGATCAGTCTCTGATACACGTAGCATTTTATCTTAGCTGTCAGCTAGATTTCCAAACACCCACACACCTGCAGAGCCCTTGCAGGTGAGCTAGCAGAGAGAGAGAGAGAGGAGCTGAATGACAGATGCGTGTGGTGGGTTTTTCTATGTTCGTGCGAGACCGTTCAGCAAAAATATTTGCGGTATCTCAGCTGTAGAGATCAGCAAAAAAGACAAGTCTTGCCAAGAAGCCTCTCACTCTCTTCCTCTCTCTCTTTCTCTCTGTCTCAAGGATCATCTGGATAAGGCAATTGAGTTGAAACCTGAAGATCCTCTGTCATATTACTTGCTGGGCCGCTGGTGTTATGCTGTGAGTGACAGAGCATTTGGTATTAGTGTTTTTGGGGAAATTCATGACATTGTGTTAGTTAAAGCCTGAATCAGGGTTCCCACGTTCAAAAAAAAGCCTGGTCAAATCAGGGAAATGTATTTATTTTTTCTCTTTCAAAACTTAGGGAAAAAAAACTGTTTAATTAATGGAACCGAATATAGAGAATATATACTAGTAAAGTTTGGGTTTGAAAATATTTTTTAATCTCTTATGATCACCAATACTGCATTTATTTGATCATATGTACAGTAAAAACAGAAATATTGTGAAATGTTATTACAATTTAAAATAACTGTTTTCTATTTCAATATATTTTAAGATGTAATTAATTTGAAAAAAGTCTTAGTCCAGTCTTCAGTGTCACATGATCCTTCAGAAATCATTCTAATATGCTGATTTGCTGCTCAATGAACATTATCAATGTTGAAAACAGTTGAACTTCTTAATATTCCTTAGTGAATAGAACGTTCAAAAGAATGGCATTATTTTAAATCTTTTGTAACATTATAAATCAATTTAATGTATCCTTGCTGAATAAAAGTACAGATTTATTTAAAAAAAAAGTTTTGAACAATAGCATGCATATTTATTGTGAGTGCAGTCTGTTTAAATAAATAAAATACAATAAAAGTCTTGGAAATTCATTGGTCAAAAACTAAATGAGTGCTGGAAAAATATTGTTTTTAATTCTCTCTCTCTCTCTCCCTCTCTCTCTCTCTCTCTCTCTCTCTCTCTCTCTCTCTATATATATATATATATATACATACATACATACATGCATACATTATCTATTTATTATGTATTTATTTTTTGCAGTCAAAATGCCTTATTGCCCATCTGCACATTGATAAAGGACGTTCTTGGTCATGATTCTCCATAAACATATTGTATGTGCAGGTGTCACAATGTACGTGGATTGAGAGGAAAATTGCTGCTACTCTGTTTGGAGAGCCACCCAGTGCCACAGTCCAGGATGCCCTGCAGAACTTCCTCAAGGTGGGAATCTGATCACTGGCCTCTTTATTTAGAGTCCAAACAGTCAAATAAATGTATGAAGTGTATGTTATGAATGTTTGGGAAGCTGGCATGAGTTATTTTACTGTGCTGAGAAAAAAAAAATGTTTTCTTTAAATTTTGCTGGATGCCAAATTACAAATTTAATTTTATAAACATGAAATATGGTATTTAAGGTTAAGATCAGTTTTATAGCCCTTTTGACCTTGTTTTTATTTGACTCATTTGTTAAATTTAGTTAATATTTGTCATTACTTTTTTTGAGTTAGACAAAATTTTTTTTACTACTTGTCTCCTTTTTGCCTTCTTAACTTCAACAACCTCAGCAATGAAATCAACCAATCCAGTGTCCAGATTTTCCTGCCATAGGCTGTGCAGAGATTCTCTTAGTACAGTATTGTTTTCTTTAAATTTTGCTGGATGCCAAATTACAAATTTAATTTTATAAACATGAAATATGGTATTTAAGGTTAAGATCAGTTTTATAGCCCTTTTGACCTTGTTTTTATTTGACTCATTTGTTAAATTTAGTTAATATTTGTCATTACTTTTTTTGAGTTAGACAAATTTTTTTTACTACTTGTCTCCTTTTTGCCTTCTTAACTTCAACAACCTCAGCAATGAAATCAACCAATCCAGTGTCCAGATTTTCCTGCCATAGGCTGTGCAGAGATTCTCTTAGTACAGTATGTGCTGCTGAGAGATTTGTCTTCGAGGTCCCAGGTTAAATAACAAACCCTGATCATTTATGAAAGAGCTTGGCCTTTGTTCCTACATTCAGTGTTTTTACATAAGTTGCTCTCTCCTCTGATGTTCTCCTGTCCTTTGTATCTCACCCATCACTACTTATTTAAAGGGTCTGTGCGTAGACTTGTTGCACCCTGCCAATACAACACAACATTCTGTAGAGTTATACAACAGCATGACTAATTAAAGGAGAGAAATGGGGAGTTGTTCGTCGTCATAAATCATTAATAGTCAAATTTTGGGCAAAAATGGACACCAAGCAAATATGCTTACCAGCTTATGATCAAATAACATGTCTCTTCATCTACACACTGAATGATCCACCTTCATAAAGAATTCAGCTTTATATGCTCCATGGCCAAAAGTATGTGGAAACCCCCTTCAATGTAATGGGTTTCAGCTACGCATGTTACTAGTAGAGTAGGTGCATAAAACCAAGCATCAATACAGCCATGCATCTCCTTGGATTATTCATCAAAAAATACTAGTTAACATTGATAAATAAAATACATTTTAAAAATATCTTAAAGAAGAAAGTGGTTAATTTAAATTGTCACCCTAGAGGAACTTTAGAAGCCAGATCAAATATTAGATGTACATTATTAGATGTGTGTGAAAAATTAATATAGATTTTCAATGTAAAATCCTCATCTAGTAATCATAAATAGCTGAAAAAGAATGTAAATATCATTCAAACTCTATTTATCAAAAGGTGTAGGAAAGCTGTAGTTTTTCCTTTGTTGAAAACATAAGCTCATATATGTGGCTACTGCAGCGTTTATATTTCTTCTGATTGTGTAAGTGTCATAAATGCCGACAGCGTTATTTATTGCTCTGATTATAGAGTTGAAGTTTACTGCCTGCAATGGTAATAGTTTAATATCTCATTTAACATGCAAAGTGTTGGAGAATGTACCCTAGACGTTTGCCTGCCAGCAGTGCAGTCAAAAGAGAGATGTGTTTTTGATGATCTCATTTAATTAACTACACCTGAAATGCAAAAAATCTGTTACATTAACAGTCTGTGTTTATATATCAACAGTATGTTGTCAATAAATAATTTCAATCTGCCTGTGGATGACAGATTGCATTTGCTAACTTTGTTTTGTGTTTAATTCTACAGGCAGAAGAGATCAGTCCCAAGTATTCAAAATTCAACTATGTGTTTTTAGCCAAGGTAATGACTCTTGCTTGAGGTCTTGACTATTTTATTAAGGAACTTAATATTAATTAAAAAAAAATGACATTGGGTATTTTGCTGGCTCTTTTCCAAACCAAGTGAGCTGCCTTGTTTACTACCACCTACATAGACAGCTACCTTCCAAAGCAGCATATATTAAGTATTAACCAATTTGGAATGTTCTACTTGTAAAAAAATTTAAATCAAATAAATGCCATTAAAAAAAATAATCAAATAATCTTAAAAAAAGTATCATGGTTTTCACAAAAAAAAAATAAACAGCATTTCAACATTGATAATAATATGAAATGTTTTACCAGTTATTTTAAATTGTTATAATATTTCACAATATTTCAGGTTTTGCTGTATTTTTGCTTGTTGAGCATAACTGAATTAAGTGTTAAAGGAGACATATTATGCCCCTTTTTACAATATGTAATATTGAAAATTGTCCGGAATATCGTTCCATACACGCCGTTTTTCGTGCCGGTCTCTTTAAATGCAAATGAGCTGCTGCTCCCCGCCCCCTTTTCCTGAATAGAGCTGCGCCTTTACAGCTCGTACCTGCTAAAAACTTCTGTTTTGGTTCTGATTATCATGTTTATCGTGCTGAAATCATGCTTTTTAAACCATATTAGTTTAAACTCTGATATACGGTTTTCTGAGTGCACACGGACAGAAAGCGGCTGTCACAGGCATGTGAGTACTAAACTAAGTTCTCATTCACACACAAGTTTGTTAAAAACACACAAGTTACAAAAACAGTCGGTTATGTCTGTGAAGGTAAACGGCTGGGAAATAAATCGCATGTTTATTTTAGATCTCTGTGGCAGCAGCAATATACAGTAAATAAATCAATAAATCCACTGCTCTGTTGTCTCCTCTGAGGCTGGGACTCTAAACAGTAGTGGCAATGTTTACATGCAACCAAATAATCCATTTGTAATCGGATTGATGACTCAATCGGACTGAAAAACCTTCATGTAAGCACCTTAATCGATCTGATTGAGCTCGATCAGAATGAAATTTCAATCGGATTGAAGGGGGTGGTTTATTCCTTTTCTAATACGATTGAGAGTGCATGTAAACACTTGATCGGATTGAACCCCGAAACTGAAAGGACCGCTCATGCATGTGCAATGACGCAGAAATAATGTAATGATGTATGACGCGCAGAACCAGAGGTTCTTCCTTTTGAATAAAGTGTTGTATAAATGCGTGTCCTGTCATTACAAAACTCTCCTTTGACTCGGCAACTGTGAAGTGGAGCAGGACAACCTCCCACCAGTCCTTGTTTTGGATTCTCATCCACAGGCAACCCGTTTTGGGCATGGGGAGGGGCATTTTTACCGCATGATAAATATGAGCAGCACGGCACAGCGGTTTAAATGTATATTTATCCATAAATTAATAAATATTAATTCTGCTGTTAAAAACAAATAAAGAAGCCGTGTAGGAGAGTGGTTATTATGTGCAAACAGTGCACAAACAGCACTATTTGTGCAGTGTGTGCATGTCAAAAAAATGTATTCCGATTTGAAGCTTGTGACATATAAACGCGCACATCAACCCGATCACTTTATTTAGTGTTCATGTAAAAACACTACATTCAGATTCATCAATCGGAATGAATTCAGTCTGATTGAACCAAAAATTGTGCATGTAAACGTAGCTGTTCTGTGGTCGTCTGTGCAGCCAAAGACACAATGTTTTGCTCAAACTTTCGCCATGGCATTAGAACTGGTACACCATTGTCCCTTGCAAAAACACAATGACAGCGCAGAGGGTGGAAACTTGCAGATTAAGGGGCGGTAATATTATAATGAGATCCCTTTGCAACGTCAACAAGGGAGTGAAATCAGACATGCTCGTTTTCTCAGATGCTTGCAGAAAAAGGCTTACCAAAACAAAGTTAATGGGTTAATCTTTTTCACGTTTCCTTGGTTGGTAGATGCACCGGGGACCTGATTATAGCACTTAAATCCTGGAAAAGTCAGATTTTCATATGTCACCTTTAACAAATGAATATCTGAATTAACCTGTTAGCGTTCCACTGTACCGCCCGTGCGGTACACTGCATATTTTTGAGGGTTAAATTCGTGACATACAACAACTCAAAAAAAAAAAAAAAGAAAAGAAAAGCTGAACATGTCACATGTCTTTGGAAAGCTGATATTCTTGTGATTATAATGATGCAATTAGATCATTAGATCATGCATTATAAGATACAATCAACACAACAGGTACAATCAGTGTCTTTGTCAGACCGCCAACAAAGCTTCATGCTGTGATCCCATTGTGTTTTCCGGCTAATAGCTCGCAGCTATAGTCATCTGGAGGCATCTGTTTACAAAAAAAAAAATTTAAATGTAGGCGGAATGTTTTTTTCCTTTTTCAGTCTGTTCAAAGTTCTGTTACTCAATACCAGTAAGACTTACTGGTTGTTCTGTTTAGGAACAAACCTCAAGAGTGTTACCTTTCAAAAGAGACCAAAACCATGCATATACTCCCAATTGGTTCAAGAACAGCATGCAATTTACTTTGGGTATGCTTTTTTTTCCGGCATATTTTACAGGAATGCTAAATGGTTAAGTATTAACTGCTATCTGCTTTACAAAAAAGGAATAAAAAGACTGAAATCTCTTAAACTATTTGTAATGGTTACATTTTAATAACATGTCAAATCCACATTAAAATCTCACAGAAGTGGGATCATAAATGTTGCTGCTTCAGCTCAAATTAGTCTAAAACGAAGTAATTTTTGCAGGCGTGCTCAGTAGAGCTGGGCGATATAGGTAAAAAAAATGTATCAACGATATCATGTTTCATATCGTTCTGTATCGATAATTATTGAACATTTTTATAACCTTTTTTAAAACAAAGAGCAATAGAAAAAAATGTTTTAATTTAACCACTGTGTTTTTAAATTAACCCAATTTATTGAGACAAACGACAGATATTTTTTGTTTTAACAGTCAAACAGACAATAAAAATTAAACAAATATCTAATTTCTAATCTAGTTTTATATGCAGATTAAATGGGCCTTAAGGAAACTTTTGGCTTGTCTCCTGAGGCCACAGGAGGGCACAATGAGCAAAATAAAGCAGCACATTTAAATTGTCAATGCAAGGAAATAACTGTCTATAAAAACATGCATTACGTCTAAATTAACGTCTAAAATCACATATAATTTGTAAATTGCATAAACAATTATGAACAAAACAGCATCATGTATTTATGCATTGCTTAATCCAAAGAGCCGAATCGCCCATCACACAGATTGCATTTAAAAACATGAGACGCAGTGAAAAGGAATAAATCTCCACAAATTCGCGATGTGTTTTCTAAAAGTTTAAACTGTTTTAACTTTGCATCATGGTTACATCTCTTGTTTGAGATGCGAGTGCAGCAGTCAAATTTGTCCGTCTTAAAGATGCGCTGAATATGCGTTCAGTGTGAATGGCTTGGTTTCGGTTTTTATCTAATCAAGATCTTCTCCGCATTGAGCTTCTATATTTCTCTAATATTTTGAAAGCATAACACAGCAGCGGCACATCTCGTGGGCTAGACTTAACATAACATTAAAATGCAACAACGTCACATCATTATCACCGCAGCACGTGCCTATATTGTGGGCTATATCGAACATTTTTTATATCGTTATCGAAGAGGGTGTACCATCGATAAATATCGATACCGTTTTATCGCCCAGGCCTAGTGCTCAGCTAATGTTTGCTAATTACAATTTTTATCTCGTTATCTTTAATCTCACTGCAATGCAAAAGTTTGGGGTCAATAATTTTATTTTATTTTTTATTTTTTTGTAAAGAAATTAATCGTTTTATTCAACAAAGATGCATTAAGGGCACATTTTAACTTTTATTAATCTTGTAAAAAATGTATCATGGTTTCCACAAAGATAACAGCGCACAGTTGTTTTTGACATTGATAAAGTACAATTTAAAATCTATTCAAATAGAAAGCAGTTATTTTAAAATGTAATAATATTTCAAATAATCACTTTTTACTGTAATTTTGTTTTATCAAATAAATGTAGCCTTGGTGAGATTAAGAGATTTCTTGAAAAACCTTACTGACCCCAAACTTTTGAACTGTAGTACAGTATATAATTGACATTTGTCTAATGTCTTCCACCAAACTTCAATGGATTTTTTTTGTTCACTGAACTTTAGATAATCTTACATAAGTATGCAACACACTTATATTGACACACAAGATAATGAAAATGAGCCAGTAAAGCCTTAAAGGAACATTGAGAACATTGTAATGGTTTACTGTAACTGCACCTATATCATGTTTCTCTTGTCAGTGTTACAAAGACTTGGGTCAGAGGAGTCAAGCCCAACAGATGTGTGACGCTGCCTCTGCAATGAGCATTGAGACTAACGAGGTGTTTTTCTTATTCTGTTGAATCTGGTTTATTGTAGGTTGAGTCTCTTGTCATTGTAATTCTTTATTTTTTTCTTTTTTCTTTGAAGGATGAGGAAGCACAGAAGGAATTGGACGCTCTTGTCGCATCACTTTAAGTCTCCAACAAAAGGCAACAAAAGCTGTCTGTCTTTGTGTTTTGTCTCTTTGAACTGGACTGTAGCTGTTTACCCACAAACCAACATATGAACTACTAATGTTGGCCAGGCCATGTGATTTACTGTGCCTCTATTAAAGGGGAGCCCAGCAGCAATGTTTTGTTTATTTTTATTTTATGCACAAAGTACTGTATGTGTTTTTGCAGGATAATTTCTTTTAATTCTTTTTGACTTTCCCCCCCCCCAGAACATTTTAGACATTAACAGTAACGGTTGCAATACACAACGTGGCACCATGATCATCAGTGGCTGCTGTTAGATTGAATTTAGAATAAATTTAAATTTCATTAAGGAATAGTTAGCCCAAAAATTGAACTTTGCTGAAAATGTACTCTCCCTCAGGCCATCCAAGATGGAGATGAGTTTTCAATGGAACAGAAATTTAGCATTGCATCACTTTCTCTGCAGTGAATGGGGGCCGTCAGAATGAGAGTCCAAACAGCTGCTAAAAACATCACAATGTTCCACAAATAATCCACATGACTCCAGTCCATCAGCAAAAAGCTGCTATTTGTAAGAAAAAAATCCATCATTTAGGCACTTGAACATTTCCATCGTTTTGGGCCAAAATACAAGTCCATAATCCAAAATACTGCTTCCTCCAGTGAAAAAATCCATCCTCTGTTGTTCTCTCGCATCAAAATCCACTGACATATTTGTTTAGAACTATTGTGGATTGTTTACATGTAAACAGTGCTTCACCTGTGCATATTTCTCTCCTGATTCAGAAGAGATTACTTTTTCACCGGAGAAAGCAATATTATAGATAGAGGACCTGTATTTTAGCCATACGTTCAATTCAATTCAAGTTTATTTGTACAGCGCTTTTCACGATACAAATCATTGCAAAGCAACTTTACAGCAAATTAAGTTTCTACAATATTTAGTGGTAGCTTATCAGTGGTGACTGTCAGTTAATGTACATATGGCAGAAATGTACGGAAAAATCCATTAAAGACGTAATCAAACAGACGATGAACACTATTAACAGCAGTTATTATATGATGCATTCAAACTTATAGCAAAATGTGGTAATTCTGTATGTTGTTTTAGGGTTGGCATCATCTGAGGTCCTCTGAGGGGTTGGCATCATCTCTGTTTTTTTAAGTGATAAGTGATGGTTTGAAGTTAAAAATGTCTTGATGGATTTGTTTCTTACAAAAACACAGGTTTTCACTTCACAAGATGTTAATCGATGGACTGGAGTCGTGTGGATTATTATGATGTTTTCAATCAGCTGTTTGGACTCATTCTGACGGCACCCATTCACTGCAGAGTGGTGAGCAAGTGATTTAATGCTACATTTCTCCAAATCTGATAAAAAAATAAATAAATCATCTACATCTAGGGTGGCCTGAAGGTGATTAAATTTTCATTTTTCAAACAGCTTGACTATAAAGTTCTCTTTTGGATATAGTTTGATAAATGTCTAAAGCAAAGCTTTGAATAACTTTGGCACATTTGATGAGTTCCTCCAAAAAAAGAGCTGCTGATATGAAACTGTGCAAATGTGTAATTCTGTCAAATATTTTAAACTTTTCATAGCATGATCCTCCCTCTAGAAATGCAGTCTTTTGCAGGTTTTATTAGGGACACTCAAACAATAATATATAATAATAATAATTATGAAAATTATAATAAAAATATTTATAATAATTAATATAGTGAGCAGACAACTTGAATGACTTTAATCCATATACTATGCTAAATGCTAAATCCCTGACCAGCGCTACATTAGAAATTACGGGGGCCAAGTAGAAGGTCATTTTCCCCTCATGTTATTAATAATATTGTATTAATATCATTTGTTGGTGTCCAGCATTATGAAAGTAAGCAGTTTGTATATGTTGAAATGATGGCACTTGCTCTATATGGTACATTTATTTATTGGTCTTCACTGAGATTTGGTTTTTGTAACGGCGCATATGACGATCATCGCTTCATCTCTGCTGCTCAGTGCAATACACAATAAGGTGAATTCAGTCTGTGTTGTATGTTGATCATAGTTCGTTTCTTATGCTATTGGTGTGGCATAATTGATAACTGTTATATATCTGGTCTTTTTCATGTTTCTTTCAATGTTAAAAGTGAAGTGCTCATTTCTGCAGCATTAGTGGCAACGAACAGAACAGCAGTCTACTCCAAAACCTCTGAATGGCAACTGTTATAATTGTCATTATTTTTATTTGTGCAATTCAGTTTAGTGGGACAGAAATTACACACTTCACTTTTAACTTCATAAATGTAGATCAGATAGTTTTCAGTCAGTATTATGCCTATACACTGTTATCCAGGAAGAAGCCAACAATGTTGAATGCCAGGAAGACGTGGAAAAGAGCAGATTTTCAGTATATTTAGTAACACTACCATTTAAAAGCTTGGGGTCAGATTTGTACATTTTGGGGTCAAGATTTTTAAATGTTTTTGAAAGAAGTCTGCATTTATTTATTTATAAGGCTGCATTTATGTGATCAAAAATACAGTCATATTGTGAAAATATTATTGCAATTTTAAATAACTGATGTCTATTTTAATATACTTTAAAATGTAATTTATTCCTGTGATATTAAAGCTGAATTTTCAACATCATTACTCTAGTCTTCAGTGCCACATGATCCTTCAGAAATCATTCTAATATGCTGATTTGATGCACAAGAAACATTTTTTATTATTATCAATGTTGAAAACAGTTGTTGAAACATGTTATTTCAGGATTATTTGATGAATAGAATGTTTAAAAGAACAGCATTTATTTGAAATATTATTTTCTTTGTAACATTATACATGTCTTTACGGTCAATTTAATTGATACATGTAATGAATCTTTTGCTGAATAAAAGTATGCAAAAAAAAAATACTGACCCCAAACTTTTGAAAGGTGGAAAGGCAACCAAGAATGCAGATAAAGGGGGTAACGTCTTCATATGGTATCCTTTCTTTAATTTCATTGTAATTTCTCTGTACATTTTACACCTCTGTGTGTGGAAGTATTTTATAACAGGACAACTGTTCATCCTCAAGAACTGAAAACCATCTTATAGTGTCTCATTACATAGTGTCTGCAAGTCTGTTCTCTCACATACAGCACAGAAATAATGCCTGCAGGACATGACCTGGATTCCTGGAGGTCTCTTAGATCTGCTGTTAATGAAGACTTCTAGAACTGAGAGCGGAGTAAGCAGTGAGACTGTCAGAAACTTGGTGAATGCTGAGATCTATGTAAATTGGAGGCCAGAAGGCAGCCAAACCATGTGAGGTGAAGGAGATCTACCATAAGTATTTCAAAATCAGTTGCAGATGCAGCAGTTTTTAGGATTCAGTGCTTAAATAACACTACTAATTGTATTTCAAATGCAATTTGGATGCTTTCGTTGTATTTTGATTGTGTTTGGGTTGTCAGAATGCAACTTGATGGCATGTTTTAAAACTAGGGCATTTTGAAAATGGCCATTTAGAATTCAAGTAAGCATTACATGACGTATTGAAAGCAATCATCGAGCATACTGAAGACTGACTAAAATATTAAAGTAGTTTTGTTTATTTAAATAAAGCTGAGTAAATAAAAAAACAAATATGTATAATAAAATAAATATTGCCTTAGCAGTTTATTCAATTATTTGTATTTCCAGTGTTTCCTTTATTTATTTAAAAAATAAACAGATAAAACTTAAATCAAAATACAATAGACCTATATAGTAATATTTAAAAAAAGAAAGAATACACATTTTAAAATCATAAAATGAAACAAATAAAAGCTAACTCAAAATATTAATAATAAAACTATAATAGTATATAATATTATTAATGTTGAACACCGTTGTGCTGCTTAATAGTTTATGGAAACTGTGCAAAAATGTGCAGATTATTTGATGAATGGAAGATTCAAGGGAACAGAATTTTCTTTTATTTTAATAGATTTTTTTGTTTGTTTGTTTAGAATTTGAATTAAGGCTTTCATTTCTTTCCAAAAACAACAAACTTATTGACCACAAACTTAACAAAATTACTATGAAATGAAACTAAACCTAAAAAGGAAACTGAAAATATTCAAATAAAAGCAAATTCGAAATTATAATCAAACTATACTTTAATAAAACTATACCAAAATAACACTGTTAGTGTTACATTAAGAGAGCGAAGTTATTTAAGCATTTCATATTGCATCTTAGTTTTTATTTGATTTTACTACTGATTATTTTGACATCTGACTTTTTTAAGGATGCAGTGACTCCCTCGTCTCCTTGGTGAAAATGCTTCTGCCACAACCCTACAATTTTAGAAAAGAAAAAAAAAGGTATACAAAACTGTCACTGGGGTGGTACCCTTTCAAAAGGTACTTGTATGTTCCATTTAGGGCTAAATAAGGTACAGACATGTACCTTTTAACTTTTGTACCTTAAGGTACCATCCCAGTGACAGCTCTGTAGCTTTTTTCAAAGAGTGTACTGTTAATCTGACAATAGTGAAGCGTGTTTTCTTTTCTTCAGCAGGGCCTGGAAGGGGAGCAGGCGGCTGCTGGCGTATCAGTAATCAGTTGGCTTTATCTAGACTTGTCACGCACTCAAAGCTCGGCTGGCTATGAACCTCAGGCTCGATCAGAACAGGATGTGCTGGGTAAGCAAGATAAAGCACTTCATAGGGACGAGTATGTCCTACATACTTTCCTTCTATTTTAAATGCCCAATTTAGTGGCTGCGTGCAGATATGGTGATAGAATGTTATTTTTACTTCTCATTTGAATACAACATTAAATGAAAAGTTTTGTTTTACAGAATCACATTGTGTCTAGGCGTTGCTACAGGGTGAATTCACTGCCCAAACTAATTTGATTACAAATGACCGCAATATTATACTGCATGTATTATCATAAAAGCTTGAGTAATTATATCATTTTTTTGACTTATACATTTATTGAGTGTTTTATATATATTATAAACCACTACATTTAATCACAAAAGCTGTAAACTGAATGCAGTTTAGAATTTACAGAGCAGCCAAATGTCAGAGCTTATATGAAGTAGAAAATTATAATATTATATGCTGGTATCACATAATAGGAACTACATATCAAACTTACACATCAATCTTTACATATAAAATATAGTAGATCTAATACAAATCAGCAGTCTATTAACAAGTGCTATTACAGTCCAAAAATATATTACAGCAGATCAAACATCGCTATTACAGTTCAAAAATATATTGCAGAAAGAAATGATCATAACATGTATTATACATGTTAGTTAACAAACCCTGAATTTCCCTTTCAGGATTTCCCTAACTAAGGGACCTGATGTGCACAAAATGTATTTCCTTTCACCTACACTACATCATGTGCCAGATATGAAAAATCACATTCAACTTATGAGGATCTCCAGACAACATTTGATTGGGAAGGTTGTTGCGGGAACACCATGAAAGTGAACTGCTTTTAACCCGCCTGTGTTTATTTTAATTATGCTAAGAAGTCTATAATAATAAGGCACAGACTTCAACAATGCTGTAGTGAGAATCAGGAAATATTATCAAGAAGGACAATAAAGTGCTGTAAGATTATACTGTACAAATGTATCATTTTATGAGCTTTATATAGGGACGTTAACAATGCAGCATAGGGCTAGTTTGAGCTAAAGTACCCTAAGCAACAACAAGTCAACATGAAATGTAAATCAACCCTATCTATTTTTTAATGCATGATTGAGTGTTGTATATTAGTCCAAATTAATTATTTTTGTCTGTAATCTTTTATCAAAATGTCATGACTTAATGATTTTTCATGATCCAGTCAGTTTCAAATAGATAAAATCAGTTACTGCACCACAGTTTTTTCTCATCGAATATCTTGTTTCATTCAGAAATACGTCATGGAAGCAAAATGGGTTGCGAACAGCTTTTCACGTTGACTTTAAAACGCTTAATAAAATGTTGGCATTAAAAATGCTGAGACTAAATGTATATTTGCTATAGAAGAACTAGAATTAGTATCAAACGTCTTGACTGAATAATGCGATGCATGTAAATGTCTCTTAGAATTCTAGTCTTAGAAACCAACTTTTATTTATCTGAATAAACCATGTCCTGTTGTGTAGCTTCTGCTTTTCTACTCTTGCACAATATACCATAAATCAGTGCATCATTTTTATTCCTGTAGCTCATTCTGAGCCAAAAAAAAGTTTTTGCCTGAGTATGATGTCAGTAAATATATTGATATAATGCATATGTTAGAGATTCTTCAGTGTTTGTTTTCTTAGCCACCTTCATTTGGCAAAGTATTTAAGTTGTGTGCTTTGATTTCACTTCAAACTTGAGGTCTCTGTCTCATTTCTGTAGGAGTTTGAGATGTTCCTACCAAGCTCTCCAGCAGTTCTGTGCTGTCACGGGATGTGACAGACACTTTAAAGGCTTTGGGTTTAAGCGTGAGCCCATACAGAAAGTCCATGCCGGGAGTCCTTTCTGCTGTAAAACTACACTGATGGACCAGCAAGGAGGTGAAGAGGAAAAGCTGTATCTTGGACAGGTCTTCTCCAATGCATCTACGCTTCCCCACGGAGAAGATCAGCACGTTGGTGGTTAAGTCTTTGTTGAGAGCTCCATCCTCATCCAGGAAGCGCTGTGGGTTGAATTCCTCTGGTTGGTCCCATTTGGTCGGGTCATGGTTCAAAGACCACTGGTTGATGAAAATGATGGTATCTTTAGGGATGGGATAACCATTGACGGACGTGTCTGTGGTTGTGCTGTGGGGAATCGTTACAGGGATGAACGAGGTGAATCGCATGACTTCGTAGATGAAAGCCTTGACATATGGAAGATAAGGCTGGTCTGCAATGGTTGGAAGGCGACTGCGATCCGCTACTTTGTCAACATCCTCCTGAAGACGTTTCTGGACTTCTGGATACCTGCAATGTAAGTGAAGACCAACATTTTCAACTTACTGAGTTCCCCCGATCACCAAGGATTGAATTGAATATGGCTATTGAAAACACTCCTGTTGCAAATAGAAGGACTAAACAACATTTTTACATTTGGTTGGTGATTTAAATGGAATATCTGAGATGGTCGATGACACGTACTCTCGATCCAGAAAGACCCCCGGCCCCCTTGAGAGCCCTTTATCCAGAGCAACGATGAACGCATCAGTCATGTCACGGACGAGGCTCAGTAAAATAGTCTTGCGGTGCTCCGCCACTTTGGAATGAATGAACTCGTTAAACTCCTTGTTGAGTTTTTTAAACTGGTCAAAGAGAGTTTTGATTGGGTTTGGGAAGTACTGAAGCCAGGGCATCACGTCCACGATGCTTCCAGCTCCGACTGTCTTGGTGAACTGATCGTTTCTGCCCACCACCTGCAGGAACTCCTCATCATCATACGCGTATCGGTTCCCGAAGCAAACGGCGCTCATGGTGTTCGCCACCGACACCACCACGTACCGGTGAGGCTCGAAGTACTGCTGCTCGCGGGTTTTATTCAGAAACAAGCGGATGAGCTCTCCGATCTCGCTCACGATGTGCGTCTCAAAAGTCTGCTTGGTGTGGATGTTGGCTGTGGAGAAAGTTCTCACGGTGCTGTGTGCGATCTTCCGATGCAGTTTCCACCACTGGCTGTAGTTACCGAACGCCAGGCTTTTCCCATTGGACACGAACCGGAAAGAAGCGAAATCGGGTCTGCCGGCGAAATCGACACCTTTTTTAATTAGCGCCTCTTTAATTGCGTCTCCGTTGAGAACCACCACGTTCCGGCTGCCCAGTTTGATCTGAAACACGTCGCCGTACTTCTGAGCCATCCGGGTGAAGTAAAAGTGAGGTGAGGTACCGAGCTGAGCGGCGTTACCGATGACCGGCCACGGGAAGGGACCCGGTACCTGCCGTGGCCCGGATCGACGCCAGAACATGAGCATTAAACACACTAGCAGCGATAGTAAAACACTCCTCGCTGACAGTTGAATGAAATCACCCAGAACCGCCTGGAAATCCATCATCGATGTGTTTGCAAGTCTCAAAATCAATGCAGATTCACTCTGTAATGATCAAACACCTGTTGAGCATCAGATCAGTGCTGAAGGTTGCAGCGCTCGCGGCGTGTCTGAGGGACTCTGGGTGAAATCAGGGAGTATAAAGTCTCAGTGTAGTGTTGTGATGGTCGGTCTAAGGTCAGATGAGTTTATTCAAGAATTTATGCACGACTAAATAACATCACTGAGTCTCCTCCTTTACACACTCCTCTCTCTCTCTCTCTCTCTCTCTCTCTCTCTGAATGCGTGACTGAATGTTTTTCAAAACTTCAGAAATGTGCGTGAGAACGATGCTGTGTGCTGAGACAATGGATCAAACCCTTACCTTTTATAAGGAACTAATGTTTGACAGGGCAATAATAGCCTATACTTCCTTTATGCTTCATCACTGTGGAAAATAAAATAGATAAGCTAACGTGATGGAAAATGATGCAATGATGGAGATTTTTTGATAGTATTTTCCTCTTTCTCTGTTTCCACCTGTTGCCACTAGGAGGACCCCATTCCCAACCGGCTCTGAATTATATGACACTCAAATGAATTATTAAAAGGAAAATAAAGACCTGCAATTTATTAGTTTGTAATTCTATAAATTTGGTTCTTCGTGTTTTATTATCGCAGACTATTTGGGATACCGGAATATCACACAATGTTTGATATGAAAACATGTCATGATGGTCACGATCCACTGATTTCACAAAGAAGATGCACAGGTTCAAATTGTGCTTAAACACCGAGTGAGCCATCTTTGAAATTCGCTTCATAATTGATAGCCTATATATTTTTCAAAACAGTTTAAATTACACACAGACTATTTGGCTGTTTGTTTAACATATTTTAAAGGAAATATAAAATATGAATGTAGTTCATGTAACTAGCAAATGTAAAAGATAAATAAATAAAACCACTAGACATAAAGATATATTAATAAAAAGGAAAAAGTAGGTCTAAGTATGCGGAGTGAGTGCAGCGTCAGCTCGTGAGTTCAGTACCACGGACAGCGCGCGAGCGCTTCTGCGAGGATTGCGTCACGTCTAATCACTTGAAAGAGAAAGACTGACTCTTTACAGCAGCCAAGACTTAAAAACAAGTTCAAATGAGCTATTATATAGAATAAAATAACAATAACAGTAAGACACTGTGCATCAAAAATTGGATTCAACGTTTAGACATACTGATTCTTTTATTATTATTATTATTATTATTATTTTTATTTTTAATATAATGTATTATTGTCCACATTCTAAAATAATAGCAAAGTCATCAGATAATGAGTTCACATGTATGCTTGACATCTGTTAGCTCCTTTGTATTCGCTATCCGGCCAAATAGACGCTTTCAAATGAAGGAAATTGATACATATGCAATTAGCAAATATTGTTGTTTTATAATGTTGACTTATTATTATTATGATTTGTATTATTAAAATATTGCGTATATGTGTCTCTGTCCATTTTTGTTTGGAGGTCCTGCTAATAGACAAAAACAGGACCAATATATATCAATAAATCGAATCATTCGGCCAAGTTTTGGGACCTAGCCGACACACACACACACACACACGCACACACACACACACACACACACACACACACACGCACGCCAAAACAAGCTCGGGGAATTGAAATTGATTCATTTAGTTGGTTTGCATTCATCTTTATAGATATGTATTCCCTTTTCAATGTTCCTTCTATTTTTTCTTGCTGTGCAAAACTTTTCTCTATTGGGCGGACATTTCGGCCACCTGAGCAAAAACATCCTTTATACCAGACCTGTACAGCACACACTTTTTATTTAAAAAAAAAAAAAAAACAGGAAAAACCTGACATCTTTCTTATTAGACACATTCACAGTTCTGAAATCCTGCACATCTGATTGAACAAAAATAGTACAGCATACAAAAAAATCTATATTGACAACTGCTGTGTAGCACAACTAGGTGACTATATAAACTATAATATCCATGAAGTAACAGCTCAGGAAAATGTGCAATACTTCATTGAGTAATTGCACTGACTGCAGCAGTTTGTCACAGCTGTGTGTACATCGGAAAAATGGTGTGTGCTTGAGACTGGCTTATCTTCTGCTCTCAGTCAGAGCAGTCAACTTCTGGAGGAAACAGACTACAGGAGAAAAGGCCATGGGGTGTTGAGTTGAGCGCTGCAGTCACGCACAGACACTTTATCACAAGAGGTGACATTAGACACTACTGGAGCTGCTTGCTTAAAACTTTGCCTTTTTTTCACTGTTGCTGCTTGGCTGATTAAGATTTTACAGACAAGCTTACTTGTATTACTTTCAAGGTAAATAAACAGGAAGAGCCTGAGAATGCTAAAACTTAAAAATATTCAAGTTCCATATGGAAAATTCTTCCATTTTGTACACCTCAATTTAATGTACAATTGAAGACTTTCTCTAAGATGCAAAACCTCTTAGATTTTTCTTTCAAGTGAGCATTTTAATCGGGCTTCTTTATTCTGTACTGTACTATGGAAGTCAATAGCTACCAGCAACTGTTTGGTTGCTTGCATTCTTCAAGATATTTTATTTTGCACTAAACAGTAAAAATAAATTAATACAGGTTTGGAACAATTTGAGGATGAGTAAACGATGACAGAATTGAAAGTTTTGGTTGCACTATTGCTTTAAGTGAAAACTTGCATATGAATTTCAAATTTTCTTTGTAAATCACTTAATGTTAATATAAAGTGTAAACAGCAATAAAGCAAAATATTAAAGCTAACAGTAATCATTAAAAACAAAACAGATTTCAGCTGCAGGTGAAAAGGTTTTTCACTGTCGCCATCTGTGTAACTGTAAACACTGTGAAATGTGATATTGTAGTTGTGTTGTTGAATAGTAGGTCACAGAAGTTCATTTAGCAAAGAATATTGTGCTTCCTCCCCCAAGTTAACAGTACTTTATGTGGTTTTGCACCAGGAGAAAATGACAATGGCTGATCTCTTTTTGTTTGCATAGCTGAATACAGAACTTTAGAACACTCATAAAAATACAAAATGCAATTGCATTGCAAATGATTAAATACAAATAAATTCATATGTCCCCTTTGCTTTCTTGACAGATACAATGAAGCTGACATGATACCTATCTATCTATCTATCTCTCTATCTCTCTATCTCTCTATATCTCTCTCTCTATCTCTCTATCTCTCTATCTCTATCTCTATCTCTATCTCTATCTCTATCTCTATCTCTATCTCTATTTTATGTGGTTTTGCACCAGGAGAAAATGACAATGGCTGATCTCTTTTTGTTTGCATAGCTGAATACAGAACTTTAGAACACTCATAAAAATACAAAATGCAATTGCATTGCTGCATTGCAAATACAAATAAATTCATATGTCCCCTTTTGCTTTCTTGACAGATACAATGAAGCTAACATGATACCTATCTATCTATCTCTCTATCTATCTATCTATCTCTCTATCTATCTCTCTATCTCTCTATCTCTCTATCTCTATCTCTATCTCTCTATCATTTTTTTTCAGTGTGCCAAACCTATGACTGTCATTCTATTCTATTCTATTCTATTCTATTCTATTCTATCCTGTGTCCCAAACCTATGACTTATTCTATTCTATTCTATTCTATTCTATTCTATTCTATTCTATTCTATTCTATTCTATTCTATTCTATTCTATTCTATTCTATTCTATTCTATTCTATTCTATTCTATTCTATTCTATTCTCTCTCTCTCTCTCTCTCTCTCTCTCTCTCTCTCTCTCTCTCTATCATTTTTTTTCAGTGTGCCAAACCTATGACTGTCATTCTATTCTATTCTATTCTATTCTATTCTATCCTGTGTCCCAAACCTATGACTTTCTTTCCAGGGAACACAAGAGATGTTTGCAGAATGTTGCAGAATTTATTTATTTATGACTTTAAGGATTTTTATTTTGTTTTGTGTTGTTCACTGTCTCAGTGTTTTTTATTCCATGGAACACAAGAGATGTTTGTAGAATGTTGTTTTTTTGTTAGTTAGTTCGTTAGTTTCTTTCTTACCATGTCAGATTTTCATGCTTAAATGGAAGGAAAATATACAGATCTTCAGATCTACACATGGGCTCCACCATGTGTGACCGTAACTTTTTATAGTAATATTTGCTGAATTTACCCGTTCTGCATCCTGTGATACCATTCTGCAGTCAGACTGTCTGATTTCCCTTCTTTGTTTGTCAGTGTTACACTCACACTCCTACAGACACATCTGCAAATGCATGCAAGCAGGATATTTGTATTTATCCCAGGCAGCGTCACTCGGTGTGATGGTGTCAGAGAGTTTAATCCAGAGCATCACACTGCCACTGTGTACAGCCCGGTTTCCCTCATTACAACACAATGACCCTCATGATACCACACTCTCCTCAACCTTCAGTTTCCCAGGAAAATGATAAAACCCCTCATCCCCCCCCCACCTTACAAAAGCTCAAAAACATACTAAAACGATTGAAAAGACAGACAATGCTAATGAGTCTTTCGAAGTATCCTAATGACCTCCAAATTAACAACCAATTGAGGTACAGCCTCCATCAGGCTGCGCAGCTTTTTTTTGTCTAGCCAACTGTTGCGGAGGCCCTTGCCAAAGCGTAGTCACTAGTCCGTGAAGGCGTCTCCTCTTCCTGACACTAAGAGGGCATTTTTCCCCTAGAATTTTGAACGGTTACCCATGTCAGATTTACCTTCTTTTTGTTTCTTTTCTCTCCTTTCTCTTTTTGTGGCGGGTGCCACTGTGTACAGCCCGGTTTCCCTCATTACAACACAATGACCCTCATGATACCACACTCTCCTCAACCTTCAGTTTCCCAGGAAAATGATAAAACCCCTCATCCCCCCCCCCACCTTACAAAAGCTCAAAAACATACTAAAACGATTGAAAAGACAGACAATGCTAATGAGTCTTTCGAAGTATCCTAATGACCTCCAAATTAACAACCAATTGAGGTACAGCCTCCATCAGGCTGCGCAGCTTTTTTTTGTCTAGCCAACTGTT